ATTTTTAATTTATAATATATATATATATATATATATATAATAACCAATTTTCCTTTTTTATTTGTAATCTAATTTAAACAACTTTTTTTTTTTACATTTTAAAATTAGTAAAAAAAAACAGTCAAGGTTAGTTGAAATAAAAAATAATGTTTAAAATGTTTATCATTTTATATAATAATTTATATAATTAATTTATGTGTGTTCACATGAGTACAAATAAACATGATTAAAATGTAAATATCTTAATATAATATTAGATAAAAGCCACTTTATAATGATAGTAAAATACTTGTATTTAAACAAAATGCATAACACAAGATGGAAATTAAAACGTAGTAATAAAAGTAATACGTAATAATAAATAAAAACCATTTGATATTTAAAAGCATGAGTAAAAAGATAAATTTTCAGCTTTCTTTAAAAAATATTTAGTGCATTTTAATATAGATATTTAATTGATTGAACAGAACATTAAAAAATGGCCTTTAAATTGGTGCTAATATAAGACCATCTCAGACCAGACCATCTCATCCTGGGTTTTTTGGCATATACATGTAAATTAAACTACAAGCTGATGGATTTCTTTTTAGAGAGAAGTCACACTTCTGGCTGACTGTCAGGTGTTGCAGTGCCATATGCTCATTTTCAATTCCTGTCAAATCTAGTCATATGATTGCAGGGAACAGAATGGGTTGATAAAATGCAGTATATTTGAAAATGCGGTCATTTTCAGATTAATGCTATATATACATATGTTCATCCAACCAAACCTTATGGCATAACACCAAAGAATATTTCCAAAGAAGGTTACCAAGGCAACCCCAGAAAGTGCACCAATTAGAAGGCGCAATGGCTCTCAAACACTAAACTGCCAAGAGATTGAAGGAGATGGAGACAACAGCTCTAAACAAACAGACAAATGAAAGAACCAGGCAATGTTCAACAGGCTCTTTTAGTGGAAGACGGCATTAGCCACTACTTGAGGTTGTTGCTGTGCACAGAGGATATGGTTTTCTTGCCCAGGTTGTGACATTTCCATAAAACTCATCAGATATGTCATGTACCCCTTCATGTCTATGATGTACTGCTTGTGAATCCAGATTATTGATTTTCCTCCAGTACGTGCGAGTGAGAGTGTGAGTGGACATTTATCTGATTGGATCCCAATGGTGGCCGACCGCATTGACCACATGCTGTTCTAATGGCCAGTGAGGCACATGTGTCTGCATGTGAAAAAACAACTGTGGAGTGGAATCTTCCTCTTTGAGCAGATTCATGTTTTCATTGTGTTGCAAAGCTTACTGTGAGAACTTGAGCTCTGGACTGTTTGTTTATGTGTTGTGAATCTACTACCCTCTTTACACTGCAAATGTAGACACTGCATCTGAAAATGCATTTACAGAATATTAATGCTGCAGATAGGCAACATTTTTTTTTATTTTGTTGCACAATGTTACTGTATTATCGCCCAGCCCTTCATATAAACTTACAGTAGAATACTTGCATATATAGCATATCTCAACTGCTTGATTGCTTGCAATATTGCATATGTATAATATGTAAATGTAGTATATTATCTAAAAGCTCTAATATACTAAATGCAACTATAAGGCATGAGCATATTAAGATGTTATAATAACATTAACATCATTATTTTCTTTAAGGATAGCTTTGAAACCGTGTGCACTGTGAAAAGTTGAGAAAAAATACATTTACACAAATTTCAACAGCAAAAACAGTGTTATAAAATGAATGATTTATGATTTTATAATAAATTATAAATGCATAGTATATTTTGTCATGAAAGGCTGGTATGATGCTATAATGCTGCATTGCATTAGCACTTGAACAATATAATAGGACCATTGGTTATTGGCTGATATTAGATATTTTGTATTTTAATTTATTGATATGTGTTGTTATTGTATAGCCTACGCGCTAGCCGATATTGAATATTTCA